GGTAGACAACTTTGCATCTAATGTTTTTTATTGGTTCACAGTAATGAATGTAGTGATATTTGGGCTGTAAGTCAGCTATGCAGACAAGCCAGCCAGCCAGTACTTAACCACAGCTATCACAGCTATTCTGAGGGCAAAATTCAACAAAGTCCAATTCCGGTTTTCCATGCAAACACACCAATTATGCATATCAACATTAGCTAGGTTTCCATCCAATTTGATGCGAATATTCAAAAATCTGCATAAAACAATATGCACATTTTCCCACCAGAGAGGTGTTTCCATCAAACGGACGTATTGTTGATAAAAGGATGCTTGAGGACATAGTGCATATAAAATTAACTTTAGCTGTTAAATAGCCATTTACTAAAAAACAATACAAATTAAATGGGTTTCCATCGCATTTTCAACTCTACTGATGGTTTGTCACAACTGTTGCTTTATATAGCAAATGTGCCTACTTTGGTATTGGCAAGTGGGCTTTAGCCAACAGCTCGCAGATACAGTGCAGGTAGGTTACCTACATTATTAGATTATTGTGGATAAGAGCGATATTATTTTAAATTGTCAAGCGACAGCCAAGCATCAGATCATGTCACCAGAATAAAAATACCCTCTATAATTATTGGAAAGGAGCATCAAGCTCATCACCTTGCACTTTCACCACCCTGTGAAGTTCATCATAATTTATTTAATCTGTAGCCTAATAAACTGCATGGTTTCCCAAGTCGTAGTGGGAGGACCACACAACATATTCCTCCAAGTTTACTTTGAAATGATGGCTATTATACCAATATTTGCGCATAAAGGCGTTTCTACTGGCATTTCTCGCATAAATAAAAAAAGATTCCACCATGTCAAATGAACAAATTGTCTGTAGGCATTTATAAAAATTGTACCGGCATATCTTGTTAGCATCAGTCCGTTCGTGAGTTTTTTCATGCATCAGGTAATTCATCCTCATGAAATGGTTGGATAGAAACCTGGTAATAGTGGAATTCTCAAAATAAATATCTTTAGTAAAGGGGTTAACATGAAACGAATCTTCATGTGAAACCATTTGACATACGAATTAAACATTTATTTCATGAAAGTATACTTTGGTCACACATGAAACAAATATTTGGTTTGGGGAGTTATTTGAGTCCCTGAGAGCACAGTCTTTCTATATGAATATTAAATATGCACCATAGCTCATACCCTCAGCTTACATACGGTTTCAAACATTATTGCATAGGACAACTGGTTAGCAAACTGGCCATTATAGAAATCCCAATGCTAGATATCCCAACAGCATGGATATACATACTGTACAGTACAAGATATGGTGTAGTGAATGTGATGAATACCATCAAAAAACATACAAAGTTATTATTAAAGTTATGGAACACAATACAAACATTAAATAACAACACATAGAATAGACTATTTTGTTATGTCAATAGTAACCGTACACAAGCACAATACAATTTAAATTAAATAACACATATTAGCCTATAATATGTTTTTTGACATTATTAAATAGCCCTGTAAAGATACATCTAAGCTCTATTTAGTATGATTTCATCTACAGCTTTTATTGATTAAAGAGTTTGACTGTGTGTGTGTGTGTGTGTGTGTGTGTGTGTGTGTGTGTGTGCGTGTGCGTGCGTGCATGTATGTGTGCATACGTGCATGTGTGTAAGGAAGTTGTGGGTTAACTTAACACTGTTTCATAATAACATGTAGGTGTTTTGTGATATAAAAGTTGATGAAGACAAGACGACATTTACTAAAGCGCCTAATAATGAAATGTGAATGAGTGGGCCGGGGAACCAAAGGGATCTGCTAAAAATATGAATTAAGGAACTTTACTGTTAACAGCCGACTACAGCATATTATAGTGTCCTGGAAAATGTTCATTACAACAAACTAGACTGCCTCTAAGTCATTCAAACAGAAGGTGACATTGAACATGGAGCTTTGCGCCAGATTTCTTTCCGTTTTAGCCAACTCACGCAAAAGACAAAGGACCAGGATAAAACACAGATCCATCTGCCAGGATAAAACACAGATCCATCTACCAGGATAAAACACAGAGCCATCTACCAGAATAAAACACAGATCCATCTACCAGGATAAAACACAGATCTATCTACCAGGATAAAACACAGATCCATCTACCAGTCAACAAACATGGATGACTCAAAATGGAGTTACAGCATTGTACAGAAAATCAAATGTTCCACTGATGCTGATTCAACTGAGACACGGATAGATACAGCACATTTGAAACCCACTCTCCTTTAAGCATCTGCTTTTAGCTTGTAGCAGATCTCAACTGTTGACTGTGTGAATCCAGCAGTTAATTTGCTCTCAGACTAACATGTTGTTCTCTTTAGGAGCTCAGTATGCCAGCGGTCTCTGCAGCAGTGGCCAGGATGGATCTGGTAGTGTTGCCCACTTCAAGACTTATCCTCTTTCTATTTCTTTCTCTCTCTCCTTCTCTCTCTCTCCCCCTTCCCTCTCTCTTTCTCTCCTTTTCTCATGTGTCTTTCCCACCCAGGCCTATAGCTGGTGACAGCAGAGTTCACCGTTGCTGTGTTTTTCTGTGTACGCCCCATGCTTACCCTAACTCTAACCCAAATACAGCTAATTAAATGCTTTTTATACACTGCCTGCCTGGCTGCCGCAGAACTGTGGGTTCACCACCAAACCTGGTTTTACTCACACTGGGAAGGCCAGGAGGGTGGAGAACTGCACTGGGATGGATGGCACAAAGCTATCTCTGCCGGCCATTTTGTGAAAGGAATACGAAATGCTAAGGTGACATCACAAGCCTTTGAAGTTAAACTGTAAGAAAATATTTTCTACCTGGAACCAAAAAGGGTTCTTTCAGGAACCAAAAAGAGTTATATCTGGAGCCAAAAATGGTTCTTTCTGTAACCAAAAATAGTTATATCTACAACCAAAAAGGGTTATCCAAGCTACAGGGACAGCCAAAGAACCCTTGGTTCTAGGTAGACCCTTTTTGCTAGTGCATACCCTAGCTAGTGACTTACTGTATTTGGTGAAAATGTGTTTGCTTTATATGTTTAATCATTATAAAAAAGTATGCAAACGGTAGCCTTAAATAAATTAATGTGCAGCATATATGATACATTACATGTTATGACAAAATGAGCACCAAAAGCATTGGAATTCAGTTACTACAGCAAATAACACAGTAAACTGCATGAAAAGTTACATTTTCGTGACAGGTATCAAGAGTTAACATCACAGCCAACATTACGGAGTCCATATTAGGACAGCCTCAGACACAGCAGGACTAGGCTCTCCTAAAATGGTAACTGTGAATTTTATGACTGATCATATTAAACTATGGAGGGGGGACTGGGTCAAAATTCTGAATACTGATGTTAGTTCAATAGATAAAGTGCATCATCCCATGAAAATGATTTGACCTCATGTTATAGTAATTGTAAAACCGAAGAAGAGAGAAATGTGAACTAAATAAACTATATTTCTTTTGTTGTATCAGTTCTACTGTAGTTACAGTATATCGTAATTATTTTGTTAACACATCAGAATATGACAATACCTGCACAATAATAAAACAATTAATTAAATAGTAAAAACTAAGATAAACGTTCATACACAACTATGTATTCAAACCCGGGCCTTGAGGTCCACTGAAAGCCACTCCTGGTTTTCTTTCATCCCTGGTTATGGATGAAAACCAGTAGAGCTGCAATCCTCTAAAGACTACTGGAAGGTTGTGTTTTGATCAAACAGCACCGATATTGTAGGAGACACTGTCCAAACAGACCATCAGCCAAACAGATAATACAGAAATCTTTTCAGTCATTCTTTCCCCATTCCTGAGACATGGATGGGATCATCTGTATGTTCAGCATGGTCTCATAGACTAGACGTAACATAGTAAATGTAAATCCAGGACAATTAGGATGATATGTTACGTTTGGTATGGTTACATAAGACAGATGGTTACTTAAGGCGAAAAGGAAAGTAGGCTGGTTGGTCGGGGTGGATGATAGGCGTATAACACGAACGTCTAGCAACCCAAAGGTTACGAGTTCAAATCTCATCACGGACAACTTTAGCATTTTAGCTAATTGGCAACTTCTCAACTACTTACAACTTTTTAGCTACTATGCTATTACTTAGCATGTTAGCTAACCCTAAACCTAACCCTAACCTTAACCCTTTTAGCTAACCCTTCCCTTAACCCTAACCATAAACCTTTAACCTAACTCCTAAACATAACCCTAACCTTAGCCCTAACCCCTAGCCTAGCTAATATTAGCCATCTAGCTAATGTTAGCCACCTAGCCACCTTGCTAGAATTCATAAAATGTCATACGTTTTGGAAATTCGTAACATATAGTACGTTTAGAAAATTCGTAACATATAATACGAATTGTATTTGTAAAATATACGAAATGGGTGATGGACATCACCCAATTTAATACATACCATACGAAATGTAACATATCATACCCAATGGAGTGTAACGGATTTACGTACATAATAATACAAAATGCAGGTTGGTATGTTAGTCACTTTAAATCATGGACATACAATTATAATTTCATCTTAATCAGAATTAATTCATAAAACTGTTGAGTAGCTAAATTACTAATAGTCCACATTCATAAACTAAAAAATACCTAAAAGTTGATTGAATCCATATCATTTTAACTCTCCATTGTTACCTGAAATATTTGGTTTCCCTGGTGACACTTGTCCTGCTCTCAGTTGCTATTGGCTGTTGGGGTCGAAGGGTGTGGTCAGGGTGACGATCTTCTCCTGGTTGTGGTTTATTCTGGGTAGTGTAGTCTACAGCAGGTAAGGGCAGTGGACAGGTGCCATTTTGTGAGTCCCATAGTGTTGTGGGGAAGGAGTCCCAGGACCCACCAGACCTGCAGACCCCAGGCCACCCTGAGCAGTTGTGGCCCCAGCTCTAAGCCTGGGCCAACGCTGGGCCCTAGATGGGCCTAGACAAAGTTATTGGAGATCTGCCTTTGGTGCTCAAACAGGTCCTCAATCTCTGCACTGTACGCATCACCTGGTAGAAGAAACACCATACAGTTAGAGGAATGGAAGATAAGGGAAGAGCTGATGAGGAGAAGTATGAGAGATCGACTTTGAGAGAAGAAGGCATCGAATTGATGAGAACGAGAAGAGAGACACAGTAGAGAGAGGAGAAGCAGAGAGTGAGAGAAGAGAGAGAGAGAAGAGAGAAGAGAGAATAGAGAGCAGAAGATGAGCATAAAGAAGCGAGAGACACATCTATATGCATCGGGAGAGATCCGACGATGATGAGTAGATCAGTAGCAGAGATAGATAGCGAGAGATGAGAGGAGAGAGAGATGAATGAGAAGAGCAGAGAGAATAGAAGCGAGAGATGAGACGAGAGAAGAGAGAGATAGAGAGGAGACAGAAGATGAGAGTAGAAGAGATGAGATGAGAGAGTAGAGAGAGAGAAGAGAGTAGAGAAGAGAGAGAGAGCGAAGAACGAGAGAGAGAGAGCGAGAGAGAGAGAGAGAGACAGGGATAGAATATGTGAATGTGTGAATGTGTGTGTTAACAACAGCGAAATATAATTCCCCATACCTGCGTGACATCCATACATGTACGCTCTGTGTCCGTCGTATTTGCATCGACATCTCATCACGTTGTTCTGGAAGTCTGACTCAGCCATGTCTAATGAGGGGTTGACTTCCACCTGCAATATGACAGAGACAGAGAAGACAGCTATTAGTATAGTCAACTCCCATATATGCAATGTCTAAGACCTATGTGCACTAAAAAACCAGAGCACAAGAAACACATATTTAAATTGGAACTGATTAACTTTACTGTACTTAAATAGAGTTTGCACTTGTCTACTGTGCACGTATCAGTAGCTGACTGTACTTGAGCCCTGCAATGAGCCAGAGCCACAGAGTAGCTCTGTTAATAATTACAAAGTTATTACAATGTAAGACAATGATGGCTGTCTGTGACCTCCTGACTTGCAGCCACTCACTCCATCCTCACCACACTGCGTTATTAGAAAACAGAGGGAGGGAGTTTATAATTTCATTTCATTCTTCCCCTCAAGTCTTCCTGCCGTAGCAGACCCATAGAAAGGAAGAGAGAGGAGTAATAGTCTGTGTCCCAAATAGCACCTTATTCCCTTTGTAGTGCACTACTTTTGACCAAGGCTCATATATAGCTAGGATACCATTTGGGACGCACAATAGAGTAATAATAATATGTGCCGAGTGCACTAGCGTCCCCAGACTGAGAGAGACGTTAGCGTCCCCAGACTGAGAGAGACGTTAGCGTCCCCAGATTGAGAGAGACGTTAGCGTCCCCAGACTGAGAGAGACGTTAGCGTCCCCAGACTGAGAGAGACGTTAGCGTCCCCAGACTGAGAGAGACGTTAGCGTCCCCAGATTGAGAGAGACGTTAGCGTCCCCAGACTGAGAGAGACGTTAGCGTCCCCAGACTGAGAGAGACGTTAGCGTCCCCAGACAGAGCGAGACGTTAGCGTCCCCAGACTGAGAAGAAAGAAAGAAAGAAAGAAAGAAAGAAAGAAAGAAAGAAAGAAAGAAAGAAAGAAAAAGAAAGAAAAGAAAGAAAGAAAGAAAGAAAAGAAAGAATGCATACCCGAGAATGAACAGAAGAAGAAAGCATCCCTACAAAGCCACTACTCCCTCCTCGCCCTCACCCCCCCGCACCACTCCCGAAATCCCTCCACCCCGCCACGACCGGAGACAGGAAAGGGAAGGAAGGAAGGAAGGAAGGAAGGATGGATGAGATCCACATTTGCTATTTAGTAACATTCATTGGTATAATGGTCCTCTGTAGCTCAGCTGGTAGAGCACGGCGCTTGTAACGCCAAGGTAGTGGGTTCGATCCCCGGGACCACCCATACACAAAAATGTATGCACGCATGACTGTAAGTCGCTTTGGATAAAAGCGTCTGCTAAATGGCATATTATTATTATTATTATTATTATAAATATATATGGCAAATAGAAATCCTATATGGATGGTGTTAAGAGATAGATGGGAGGTATTGAATAGAGTTGAAGGATGGGACTAATAACAAATAACAACAAATAATAACAAAGATAGCTAATAATGTAAGCATACTGTGTCCATAATAAGTATATAGGTTGTATGTTGGGAGCTTTTGGGAAAGAGCACAGTTAGAAAGATATGGCATATAGAAGCAAACCGGATGGACATCATGAAAATGATCGGAGAGGTTGAGAGTAGAAGTTCAGGAGCAAAAACAAATAAAATATAATTATTGTAAAATTGACTGTGTCCATAAGGTGTAGATAGTAAGTAGAGGCCTGGGCATTGTTGTTCACTAATTTACTCCAAGTAGGGAAAGGATGGCGGGGTTGAAAAGTAATAAAGGGGAGTATATATATAAAACACATGGGGGATTGGAAGTGATGCAGACAATTACATTGATAGAAGTTACAATCTATCTGCAATATTACGCTGATCCATCCCCCCCCCCCAAAAAATAAAATAATAATAATAATAAAACATTCAGTTGGTAGAGTTGATCAGATGTACAGTATACTGTTTAGACACCGTAACAAAAACATTGTTTGTCCCATTGTGAGAAACATGAAAGACATGCTGAAAAACATTAGCAGTAATATTAGCCTAAGGCAAACTAATCATAAATACTTTTATGACTATTGTATGGAAGGTTGTATAAGTTTAGTATAAATGTTGAGTAACAAAGACATTCTCAACCCACACAGTGTGCATTCTAAGAAGAAGTTACAGTATGTAATGTTATGGTTTGTCACAGGACCAAAGGATGGCCATTCCAACTGAGTCTCACACCATTTGAGTTATAACTGAAGAATCTTTTAGGAGGAAGCCTCAACCGGTTTGCTCCCCACTTCCTCGATGCAGTTTACCATATGGGTGAACATTACTATTGGCTCTTTTAACTTAAAGAACACCTTTAAGTTGAAGACTACAGCTGAATTAACGGAGTAATTTAGTGTGCGGTTAGGAAGGTACAGTAGTTACAGAGAGCATAACCGTGACTGTATAAGTGTCTGTAATAGGTGCTATTCTGAGCTCTACCATGTTCTAATAGACTGTTATTCACCAGTCTAACAGTCTACTTTCACAGCTGCTGACATAGCCATTCTCTTCTGAAGCACACAGCGCACGCACGCACGCACGCATGCACACAGCGCACGCACGCACGCACGCACGCATGCACACACACGCACACACACACACACACAAACACATGCGTGCGGATGCAGGCAAACACAGGCAGGCAGTCAAACACACACACACAAAGACACACACACACTCTGTGATAATACTGAGAACCCATTTTCCCTAATAGCTGCTCTGTAAATGTACTACACCCACTTTAAATACAGGCTGCATACAGCTACTCAGGAAAACAACTTTAACCCCCCAAAAACAAAAAAACATTTTTAAAACTTTGTGAATGCTCAAAAACTAGCCATGATGGCAACTCTGTAGAAATTACAGTGTTGGACTTTGTCGTCTGTAGTCGGTTGGCTTGGGCCATCGGAATGTGTAACGGAGTGATAAAAAGGCCTGTAAAAACAGCAAAGGAATTCCATGGGTGGAAATTAACCGTTTTTTTATAGGGGGGGCTGTAATAAGGAGGGTCTAATGATAGGGGGTTAATTTGGGTAATTGGGGAACGTTTAAATAACTCTGGGTGGTTCAAGGACAGAGCTTCTTGATCTTTATTAAACGTCCATGTCTCTCAAATGTAGATATGCAATGTTCTGGTCCTGCGTTCACTAAGTGTCTCAGAGTAGGAGTGCTGATCTAGGATCAGAGCCCCCATCTTATTTAACTGGTCCTAGGTCATAATTCCTACTCTGAGACACTTTGTGAATAAAAGCCCTGAACAGTGCACCCCACTGAATAGGCCCACGAGTTTCAACAACTGGAGATCGGACAACAGGAGATTGGTCAACAAGAGATTGGTCAACAGGAGATTGGACAACAAGAGATTGGTCAACAAGAGATTGGTCAACAGGAGATTGGTCAACAGGAGATTGGTCAACAGGAGATTGGACAACAAGAGATTGGTCAACAAGAGATTGGTCAACAGGAGATTGGTCAACAGGAGATTGGACAACAGGAGATTGGACAACAGGAGATTGGTCAACAGGAGATTGGACAACAGGAGATTGGTCAACAGGAGACTGGACAACAGGAGACTGGTCAACAGAAAATTGGTCAACAGGAGAACAGTCAACAGGAGATTGGACAGCAGGAGATTGGTCAACAGGAAATTGGTCAACAGGTGATTGGTCAACAGGAGATTGGACAGCAGGAGATTGGACAGCAGGAGATTGGTCAACAGGAGATTGGTCAACAGGAGATTGGTCAACAGGAGATTGGTCAACAGGAGATTGGTCAACAGGAGACTGGACAACAGGAGACTGGTCAACAGGAGATTGGTCAACAGGAGACTGGTCAACAGGAGATTGGTCAACAGGAGATTGGTCAACAGGAGATTGGTCAACAGGAGATTGGTCAACAGGAGATTGGACAACAGGAGATTGGACAACAGGAGATTGGACAACAGGAGAACAGTCAACAGGAGATTGGTCAACAGGAGATTGGACAACAGGAGATTGGTCAACAGGAGATTGGTCAACAGGAGATTGGTCAACAGGAGATTGGACAACAGGAGATTGGACAACAGGAGATTGGACAACAGGAGATTGGACAACAGGAGAACAGTCAACAGGAGAACAGTCAACAGGAGATTGGTCAACAGGAGATTGGACAACAGGAGATTGGACAACAGGAGATTGGACAACAGGAGATTGGTCAACAGGAGATTGGTCAACAGGAGATTGGTCAACAGGAGATTGGTCAACAGGAGATTGGTCAACAGGAGATTGGTCAACAGGAGATTGGACAACAGGAGATTGGTCAACAGGAGATTGGACAGCAGGAGATTGGACAGCAGGAGATTGGACAACAGGAGATTGGACAGCAGGAGATTGGACAGCAAGAGATTGGACAGCAGGAGATTGGACAGCAGGAGATTGGACAGCAGGAGATTGGACAGCAGGAGATTGGACAGCAGGAGATTGGTCAACAGGAGATTGGACAGCAGGAGATTGGACAGCAGGAGATTGGACAGCAGGAGATTGGACAACAGGAGATTGGACAACAGGAGATTGGTCAACAGGAGATTGGACAGCAGGAGATTGGACAGCAGGAGATTGGTCAACAGGAGATTGGACAGCAGGAGATTGGACAGCAGGAGATTGGTCAACAGGAGATTGGACAACTTTTCTTTATAACAGTTACACCACTCAGAATAAAAGGTGCCATCTAGAACCTAAAAGGGTTATTCGGCTGTCCCCATAGGATAACCCTTTGGAGAACCCTTTTAGGTTTCAGGTAGAACCCTTTTGGGTTCCATGTAGAACCCTTTTCACAGAGGGTTCTACATGGAACCTAAAAACGTTGTAGCTGGAACCAAAAAGGGTTATCCTATGGGGACAGCTGAAGAACACTTTTGGAACCCTTCTTTCTAAGAGTTACATGCTATATCTCACTAACTCCTGTCCTCCTGTTCTCCTCTTCTCCTCTCACTCACTCCTGTCCTCTTCTTCTCCTACTCTCTTCTTTTCTTCTCTCCTCTCTTCGTCAACTCATTTTCTCCTCACAGCTGTTGCAGGGCCACCACTTGTAATTACGCCCTGCTCTACATGCCTAAAGTACACACATTTGTGTGTGTCCCCCCGTGAGAGTGTGTGTACGTCTATCACAGGGACATGCAGGGTGATTAAATAAAACAGGCTGAGACACTCAGGGAACAGTTTTCACTGTAACCTCTCAACCGACTCCCATGGCTTAGGTAGCACAGTCATTAAGGTGATGAGTTTCACCATAACCCCCCTCTCATTGACAGAGAGTCATTAGGTAGTACTACCAGTAATTACGGGGGGTGCTAGTTTCATCATAACCCCCCTACAATTAACAGAGAGTGATTAGGTAGTACTGCCAGTAATTACGGGGATGCTAGTTTCACCATAACCCCCCTCCCATTAACAGAGTGATTAGGTAGTACTGCCAGTAATTACGGGGATGCTAGTTTCATCATAACCCCTCTATCATTAACAGAGAGTGATTAGGTAGTACTACCAGTAATTACAGGTGTGCTAGTTTCACCATAATCCCTCATTAACAGATAGCAAGTTTCACTCCAGCAAGTTTCACTGTAACTCATGGCTTTCCAATGGCTCAGAGGCATAAAAAGAATTGAAAGCCTAATTGCCCCCAGGGACGGCATGCTGGGATTAGTAGTCTGAGACAGAAGTGGTGGCTGATGGGAGTTGGAGTCTTTGATGTGTCCTGAGGTGGCGCCCACAAAGACACAGCTGATTAACATGAGACAGGGTAATGATAGAGATGGAGAGTGTGTGTGTGTGTGTGTGTGTGTCTGTATGTGTAATACAACATGGCTGTCTCTCATGGTAGGTAACACAGAGGGTGGTCTGCAGACCTCGGTCACATACACGTTAAATACTTCAACATACTTTAATAGTTTTGCGTGGTACAAAGGGACCAATGGGATCGTCTCAAAAGTGCAAACTCCAAGCTAAATTAAACGCAGCTGTGTGTGCCTGTGCGTGTGTATGTACCTGGAATATGTAGTCTCCAGGCTTGACGTCGGTGATGTCGATCCACTGACAGTCAATGTCGTGGCGGTACGTATCCCAGCAGCCCACTGAGATGCCCTGGTCGCCCATGTTGTAGCAGGAGAAACGCTTATGCAGACCTGACACACAGACAAGAACGGTGACTTTACTCTTCTGCTTGATGCTTTTAGGAGCCAGTTTCAGCTACTAAACAAACAAAAAAATAATTGGCCAGGAACAATTTAGGTGATGAACAGCCTATGAAGCCAAGTTGTTTAAAATAAAGGGTTGTTATAACTGTTAATAGCAGGTGACATTGCCATGTTATGAATGATTATGAATGTTAATAACATGTGACATGAGGAGCTATCCATGTTAATACAGGTGTTATTACCATCTAGGCAGTATTTATCCATGTTAATAACAGGTGTTATTACCATCTGGGCAGTATTTATCCATGTTAATAACAGGTGTTATTACCATCTGGGCAGTATTTATCCATGTTGATAACAGGTGTTATTACCATCTGGGCAGTATTTATCCATGTTATTAACAAGTGTTATTACCTTCAAGGCAGTATGTATCCATGTTAATAACAAGTGTTATAACCTTTAGGGCAGAAACCCCTACCTGTCCCAGACCTGCTGTTTTCAACTCTAAATGATCGGCTATGAAAAGCCAACTGAGAGACCTGAGCCCTAGGACCATACGTCGGGACTACCGGCCGTGGTGACTCCTTGCTGTCCCCAGTCCGCCTGGCCTTGCTGCTATTCCAGTTTAAACTGTTCTGCCTGCGGTTATGGAACCCCTACCTGTCCCAGACCTGCTGTTTTAAACTCTAATGATCGGCTATGAAAAGCCAACTGAGATTTATTCCTGATTATTATTTGACCATGCTTGTCACTTATGAACATTTTTGAACATCTTGGCATGGTTCTGTTATAATCTCCACCCGGCACAGCCAGAAGAGGACTGGCCACCCCTCATAGCCTGGTTCCTCTCTAGGTTTCTTCCTAGGTTTTGCCTTTCTAGGGAGTTTTTCCTAGCCACCGTGCTTCTACACCTGCATTACTAGCTGTTTGGGGTTTTAGGCTGGGTTTCTGTACAGCACTTCGAGATATTAGCTGATGTAAGAAGGGCTATATAAAATAAAATTGATTGATTGATTGATTGATTGTATGACTGTTAATAACATGTGACATTAGGTGTTACCCATGTACATAACAGGTGTTAATACCTTCAGGGCAGTATGAATCCTCCAGACAAAAGCTGGCCTTGTGTCCCTCTGCTATCCTGGTCCCATTCAGAGTCAGCAGGTCATAGTGGGTGAACACCTCAATGCTGTGGTAGTGCCTGGTAACACAGAATAAAAGGGGTGGTTAGGGTGTGTTTGTGTGTGTGTGTGTGTGTGTGTGTGTGTGTGTGTGTGTGTGTGTGTGTGTGTATGTGCAACTGGCTCTCACAGTCTCACATCAGAACTAGACGCTGATCTATGTTTCTCAAACGCCAAATTTCTAAGTATTTAAGGTTAAGTTAAGGCATTAACTCTGAAATCTTAAGGTTAGGCAGTAACTCAGAATGGTTATGGTAAGGGTTAAGGTTTGGGATAGGCTTAAAACAAAAATCTCAAAAACAACTTTCTATCGCTGGATTCGAACATGCAACCTTTGGAATCAGAGGTAGATGTTTAACTCCCATCCGCCATTCACGTCCACAACGCCCTAGCAAAACCGAAACCTATGTGAAGGTAACAGCGCTCTCTGTTGCCCCTAGTGGCCAGTTTCCACGTCATCTGCCGATGTCCTCAGACATGGATGGACGTTAAATACTGACTGGCTGGTGTGTGTATGTTTGGGAATCAGAACAGTAGGTCCCTATAGCTGGTAGCCCAGTGATCTCAACACTAGAGCATGTGGTAGGGTGTCAGAATAACACCTCTCATAGAAGCTTGTTCTAGAACTTGCTAGGTTGCACAGCTCACACACAGACCTGTTTACACACTCACAGTGAATGGGGGGCTTTGAAACTCACCTGCACACACATTCATGCATTCACGTGCACACACACACACACACACGCACACGGCTCCAGGCATAAGTGACATACACAGTCACTTTTAGCACCGACTCCCCAAAAAAATCAGTCTCAACTTAATTTGAGAGTAAGAGTAGTAGAATATAAAAGGTGCAATTCCGACATTTGGTTGTGCATCAGCAGTTCTTATGTCAGTCACTGACAGTCACTTAATTAGCCAAGTCAGCTAAAAACGTTTAAATTGGTAAGTTAGTCTAGCTAGCTATCTATCTAAAGGTGCAGTAATCATGGCCGAATACCCACCAGACACACAGGGCAAGTACCCAGGGGCCCTGACCTCCAGTGGGCCCCCATTGATTTTGTTAGTCACACTCAATCAGACATCATATTACCATGGCATAAGTTATGGCAAAATGTGTAGAATTGCAGGTAATTAGCTTTCAAATGGAAAAAATGTCACTCCACCCTATGGCAAAATGATAGAATTGCATGATATGTGTTATATGAAAAATAACGCTATGAAAGTGATTGGTTATTCGCTTGCAGTGTACTTAGTAATGACATCCACTAAGAGACAAGCATAACAGAACAGAAAAATTTACATTTTTGTTTCTCAGAAATTGGCATTTTACATAAGTGTATCCATAACATTATCGAAGAAAAGCTTTATGTGGACCACTATTTTTTTGTGGTTGTTTTTGTAAGTGTTTTTTTAGGGGGTAGATAAGCTTTAATATTGCAGATAGCTTCCATCAATGTAATTGTCTGCATCATTTCCAATCCCCCATATATTTTTGGGTAAATATATACAGTACAGTCAAAAGTTTGGACACACCTACTCATTCAAGGGTTTTTCTTCATTTTTACTATTTTCTACATTCTAGAATAATATTACTATAAAATAACATATGGAATCACGTAGTAACCAAAAAAGTGTTAAACAAATCAAAATATATTTTATATTTCAGATTCTTCAAAGTAGCCACCCTTCAGCTTTGCACATTCTTAGCATTCTCTCAACCAGCTTCATGAGGAATGCTTTTCCAACAGTCTAGAAGGAGTTCCCACATATGCTGAGGACTTGTTGGCTGCATTTCCTTCACTCTGCGGTCCAACTCATCCCAAACCATCTCAATTGGGTTGAGGTTGGGTGATTGTGGAGGCCAGGTCATCTGATGCAGCACTCCATCACTCTCCTTCTTGGTCAAAAAGCCCTTACACAGCCTGGAGGTGTGTTTTGGGTCATTGTCCTGTTGAAAAACAAACGATAGTCCCACTAAGCGCAAACCAGATGGGATGCCGTATCGCTGCAGAATGCTGTGGTAGCCATGCTGGTTAAGTGTGCCTTGAATTCTAAATAAATCACTGACAGTGTCACCAGCAAAGTACACCCACGCCATCACACCTCCTCCTCCATGCTTCACGGTGGGACCCACACAGGCGTAGATCATCCGTTCACCTACTCTGCGTCTCACAAAGACATGGCGGTTGGAACCAAAAATCTCTAATTTGGACACATCAGACCAAAGGACAGATTTCCACCGGTCTAATGTCCATTGCTCGTGTTTCTTGGCCCAAGCAAGTCTCTTCTTCTTATTGGTGTCCTTTAGTAGTGGTTTCTTTGCAGCAATTCGACCATGAAGGCCTGATTCACGCAGTCTCCTCTGAACAGTTGACGTTGAGATGTGTCTGTTACTTGAACTCTGTGAAGGATTTATTTGGGCTGCAATTTCTGAGGCTGGTAACTCTAATGAACTTATCCTCTGCAGCAGAGGTAACTCTGGGTCTTCCTTTCCTGTGGCGGTCCTCATGAGAGCCAGTTGCATCATAGCGCTTGATGGTTTTTGCGACTGCACCAAAATTCTTGAACATTTCCAGATTGACTGACACGTCTTAAAGTAATGATGGTCGTTTCTCTTTGCTTATTTGAGCTGTTCTTGCCATAATATGGACTTGGTCTTTTACCAAACAGGGCTATCTTCTGTATACCAACTCTACCTTGTCACAACACAACTCATTGGCTCAAACGCATTAAGAAGGAAAGAAATTCCACAAATGAACTTTTAACAAGGCACACCTGTTTATTGAAAAGCATTCCAGGTGATGACCTCATGAAGCTGGTTGAGAGAATGCCAAGAGTGTGCAAAGCTGTCATCAAGGCAAATGGTGTCTACTTTGAAGAATCTCAAAATATAAAATATATTTTGATTTGTTTAACACTTTTTTGGTTACTACATGATTTCATTTGTGTTATTTCATAGTTTTGATGTCTTCACTATTATTCTACAATGTAGACAATAGTAAAAATAAAGAAAAACATTTGAATGAGTAGGTGTGTCTAAACTTTTGACAAGTACTGTATATACATATATTTTAAAAATATATTTCCTTTATTATTTTCCGCTAACCCTACAGAGGAGGGGAACTGGGTGAAAGTGTTGTGGTCAGATGAGACCAAAATCGAGCTCTTTGGCATCAACTCAACTCGCCGTGTTTGGAGGAGGAGGAATGCTGCATATGACCCCAAGAACACCATCCCCACCGTCAAACATGGAGGTGGAAACTTTATGCTTTGGGGGTGTTTTTCTGCTAAGGGGACAGGACAACTTCACCGCATCAAAGGGACGATGGACGGGGCCATGTACCATCAAATCTTACATTTACATTTTACATTTTAGTCATTTAGCAGACGCTCTTATCCAGAGCGACTTACAGTTAGTGCATACATAATTTTTTCATACCCCCTGTGGGAATCAAACCCACAACCTCTATCAACTGAGCTACATCCCTGCCGGCCATTCCCTCCCCTACCCTGGACGACACTGGGCCAATTGCGCGCCGCCCCATGGGTCTCCCGGTCGCGGCCGGCTACGACAGAGCCTGGATTCGAACCAGGATCTCTAGTGGCACAGCTAGCACTGCGATGCAGTGCCTTAGACCACTGCACCACTCGGGAGATAAATCTTGGGTGAGAACCTCCTTCCCTCAGCCAGGGCATTGAAAATGGGTCGTGGATGGGTATTCCAGCATGACAATGACCCAAAACACACGGCCAAGGCAACAAAGGAGTGGCTCAAGAAGAAGCACATTAAGGTCCTGGAGTGGCCTAGCCAGTATCCAGACCTTAATCCCATAGAAAATCTGTGGAGGGAGCTGAATGTTCGAGTTGCCAAACGTCAGCCTCGAAACCTTAATGACTTGGAGAAGATCTGCAAAGAGGAGTGGGACAAAATCCCTCCTGAGATGTGTGCAAACCTGGTGGCCAACTACAAGAAATGTCTGACATCTGTGATTGCCAACAAGGATTTTGCCACCAAGTATTAAGTCATGTTTTGCAGAGGGGTCAAATACTTATTTCCCTCATTAAAATGCAAATCAATTTATAACATTTTTGACATGCGTTTTTCTCGATTTTTTTGTTGTTATTCTGTCTCTCACTGTTCAAATAAACCTACCATTAAAATTATAGACTGATCATTTCTTTGTCAGTGGGCAAACGTACAAAATCAGCAGGGGATCAAATACTTCTTTCCCTCACTGTATCTGCAGCGTTAGGTCCAGGTAAATGTTGCAATTCTTCAGCCTTTCTATGAGGTCGAAGGAATTGTCCGTAGAGCTCTGAGACAGGATTGTGTCGAGGCACAGATCTGGGGAAGGGTACCAAAACATTTATGCAGCATTGAAGGTCCCCAAGAACACAGTGGCCTCCATCATTCTTAAATGGAAGAAGTTTGGAAACACCAAGACTCTTCCTAGAGCTGGCCGTCCAGCCAAACTGAGCTATAGGGGGAGAAGGGCCTTGGTCAAGGAGGTGATCCGTCTAGGCAGTTACAAAGAAAATGCCATATCTCAGACTGGCCAATAAAAAGAAAAGATTAAGATGGGAAGTCTGAGATATGTCTTTTTCTTTGCAACTCTGCCTAGAAGGTCAGCATCCCGGAGTCGCCTCTTCACTGTTGATGTTTTATACTGGTGTTTTGTGGGTACTATTTAATGTAGCTACTGGTTGAGGACCTGTGAGTCGCCTGTTTCTCAAACTAGACACTTTAATGTATTTGTCATCTTGCTCAGTTGTGCACCGGGGCCTCCCACTCCTCTTTCTATTCCGGTTAGAGCCAGTTTGCGCTGTTCTGTGAAGGGAGTGGTACACAGCGTTATACGAGATCTTCAGTTTCTTGGCAATTTCTCCTATGGAATAGCCTTCATTTCTCAGAACAAGAATAAACTGACGAGTTTCAGAAGAAAGTTCTTTATTTCTGGCCATTTTGAGCCTGTAATCGAACCCACAATTACTGATGCTCCAGATACTCAACTAGTC